TGTCCACCCAGTAGACCATTTAAGGTAGTAAGGCGTTTGACGCCTGGGATAGCTACATACTCCTACACTACATGGCCGAGGGCATCATACGTTCTCAACCCGAGCTTCACGACCTCTGGAGCTCATTACAAGGCCTGAGCGTTGCGAATGCGGATACGGTTGAGGATACTACCGAGAGTGACAGCCGTGAGGCTCACTTCAGAGCATACACGGTGCGCATCGATACGTTCACCCTAGCCTTACACTCACCCCATGCCCCGCAGGCGGCTACATTCATCTACGCCTGCGTGGACAACGACTCAGGGAACTGGAGCGACTATCTTTTATCGTCAACGGCGGAGCTGAGTTCGCTCGAGACTGACTGCTCCGATGCACCGCGCGCATCAGTTTGTGATAGCGACGAAGGAGACGACCACCTTCAAGACGCCGTCTGCGCCGCTTTGCCTGGGGTCTCCGACCTGAGCGGTCGGCCCTCCGATCAGCTGGCCGACAACGCGGATGTATGGCGGTGTCCAGTCCATCGATGTGGCAAAGTCGTCCGGCCGTCAAACCTTACCAGATCGCAGCGCGAGGTCGTGGTAGCCCTCAGTGGCAGCTTTGACGCGATGCTCGTTCGGGGAAGAAGTGGTACGGTTCAACTACGCCGTGAAGATCCCTGGAAGTTCCTGCGTTACGTCGATGCAGTGGCTTGGAATCATATATCCTGGCATCTGCATCGTGCGCACATAAGTTTCTACCATCCTCATCCCGATCGCCCCTATAAGGTACGCACAACAGTCAGTACGCGCGGCTTCTACCACTCACGCCAATGGATTCAGGAATGTTGCGGTTGGTGGTGGAATGAGACGCTGCTGGCCCGTAATCAGCAGCTGCTGCAAACAGTGCACCAGCTTGAGGCTACGGGACGTCAGAGAAAGCGCCAATGGTTGGTTCTAAAGGCAATCAGCTCCGCGCGAAGCAGAGTCGAACGCGCGCGGGCTCGTCTTACGCGTTGGCGTTATGATGCTTTGCAGGCACGTCGTGACTTAGTCTCGAGCATGTTCGATCTCAACCGCGGGGTGGTCGAGGTGGGGCGCTCGCTGTTGGCCCTTGTGCACCAGCAAGAAGCCGACCCGCTTACAGCCTTGTACGCCGAAGAGATCTCATACTACCGTACCGTTGAAGCGGAGTGGGTGGCAGAGCAGGGTGCATAAACGTAGAGCTTACTAGTGGTATCAAGACGGTGACAACTTGACAGACTCGGAACTGTACCATTGCTACACGCAGAGGGAGAGGGGTTGTACAGGCACGGCGCGAAGGTGCTAGTAGATGCTAGTACTGGCTCAGGGTCAGCGCTGGCGGCAGTGCCAGCGTCTGCTGTAAGCGAGGTAGAGTCGTGAGCGTGAGCCACGAGGCGGCAAATATCAGAGACGTGATCGCATTTTCGCACGAGGCAGAGTACGTGGACGCGCGCCGCGTCTGCGGTGTCCCACCCGCACCTATCCGCCTCCTCTTGCTCAAGGGAGGCGCACTAAAGGACCCCGGTTACCCTATTCTGCTGAGGCGTCTTTGTAAACTGGCAGCGGATGGCAGTCGGTCATGGGCTGGCGAAAAACGGACGGCCTGGAACAAGCCTGGAAGGTGCAGTGATTGCATCAAGTCGATTTCGAGAGACGTCGATGCCTGACGGCCTGAATAATAGAACGCTAGCGCACACGCACTGGCGCTTGGAGGGCTATAAGCTGCTCGAGCACTCTTACTCCGGCCCCCGGGGCGGCATTCTAGGGAGGGAGAGCTGGGGACTTCGTTTTGCCATGACAGCGCGGGCGCTCGTGCTCATAGAAAGGTCATGAGGCGTAAAGAATCGCAACGCAAGATCGTGATAATGATGTCGGAACTGTAGCTAAGGATCACATACGATACAATCATTCCACAAGCTTCGAACTCTTCGATGCGAGGCGGCACTCCCATACATAGTTGCTACATATCCATAATGCAGTCATGGACCGGGATGGTATAGTGCCATTATGAGATCGTGGACCGGGATCCAGCTGGACGAGGGTACATAATATAATAAAAAGCTGTGGCAGGTTGGGTGATGAGGTCGGGATGGTCGGGATGCAAAATAAAAGTACTGCGGGTATCCAAATGTAGTAATACTGTGGTGCTGCGGGGGCCTGTAGGTGCCTAAAACAGTACAAATATATGCGTCCCGACTGTCCCGGACGTCCCGACGTTGTCCCGACACAAAGTTTTGACCATCCCGATCCTGCCAGCACCGAAAGCGCGGGCTGTATCCGTCCACAGCGGGGACCGTACAGGCTAGGGTGTAATATATAGATGATAAGGAGGTACTACCAGCATGCGGGAGCTCGTATGGACCCGCTACAGCAGCCGGGCTGGCTATACAATGGGGGCCTGCAGCTGGCTGTAAATGTTGCCGCCAGCGCATCCTTCCGCTCATTGCTTCCTATAGCGGTGATGGGTAGATACTACGACACATTCTATGATAGTTACGCTCTCTTCTACTGAGCTGTAGAGGGAATGTAGGGCGGCGCTGGAATCCCGACCAGGATCCAAATGTCCCGACCGCACCGATTTCAATGGGGGGCACTGCGCGTGCTCGTATACCTACCGCCGGACGGTATACATATCCCTGGCAGCGGTTGCTACGCATTTCAGCATATGGGGCGGCATATCAGGGCCGCTAAACCAATATTTTGGCTTAGGAAAGGTACCCCGACCGTTCAGAATGCTGGCGAAAAGATGGGAACCTACTACCTCGCACCTACCTCGGCACAGCGCACGGACATACTATTTGGTGTGTACTTACGCTCAGGCACTGGTGGAGCAGGTTGGAAGTGGTACTCGCGCAATCAACATGGCGAATTAGGTGGAGCGCTTCCCGACAAACATCCAGGAACGTCCCGAAGACGTCCCGACGACCCGCAGGTCGTCCCTGCCCGGCACGCTCTCATGATCTGCTCCCCCATCTAGGGTCGCAGTTCTAAGACATACTCTGTAGATACTGCATACATTGTTCGTAGCCTTGCGGCAGGTGTATTTCGCGCGATGGGCGACAGAGCTGGAGTCCTTCCCTTCCCGACGAGACTTCTTCTTCCCGACAACCTACCTTCTGCCGCTCCCGGTACGCTACCGAATCTCCGCCACCTCCTGCACAACTCCTGTACTACACATCCGACCCCTACCTTCTGCCGCTCTAGTACGCTACCGAGTTCCTGCCACCTCCTATACAACGCCTTCACCTAACATCACTTCCCGACGCATCCTTCTCTTCCCGACGCTCTACCATCTACATCCGCCATCCGCTACCGAGTTCCCGCCACCTCCTATACAACACCTTCTCCTTACATCACTTCCCGACGCATCCTTCTCATCCCGACGCTCTACCATCTACATCCCCCATCCGCTACCGAGTTCCCGCCACCTGCACAACTCTACTGCACATCCCTTCCCGACGTACACCCCACTTCCCGACCCCTACCCTCTGCCGCTCCCGTCCGCTACCGAATCTCCGCCACCTGCACAACTCCTCTACTATATATCCCTTCCCAACGTACACCGCACTTCCCGACCCCTACCCTCTGCCGCTCCCGTCCGCTACCGAATCTCCGCCACCTCCTACCCATCGCCCTCTACTTACAGCCCTTCCCGACGAGCCTTCTCCTTCCCGAAAAGACGTCTACGACTTGGTGCTCAAAGATGAAGTTCACGTCCCGATGGACCCGACGCGTCCCGACAGCGGTTACTCTCGTCTTCATACTTGGTGATCAAGATGTTGTACATGGATTGCAAATATAGATGATACAGGAGAGTGATGCTAACTAGTGATGATGAGACGTAATGTAGTATGTAAGAGAAACGGAGGGACGATGCGGATGACAGCATGTGAGATATAAGTACAAGTCAAAAGTGAAAAAAAAACATAAGTCCAAGGGCAGGCGACATAGACGCGGGAAATGAGGAGGCGGAGACGGGCGAAGACAGCTAGTTCTTCTTCTTGTTCCTCGGCTTCGGTGCCTGTGGCTTCTTGGCCACTGCCTTGGCTGCCTTGGTCGCCTTCTTCTTCACCGGCTCCTCCTCCTCCTCCTCATCTTCCTCCTCCGGCAGCGGGAGCTTGCGCTTGCGCGACGGGCCAGATGCAGCCGCCTGAGACGGCGCGGGCTCAGGCTGATCAGCCTTCTTGCTGCGACGAGTGGCTAACGGCGGGCCAGAGGGCATGCTGCGAGTGCCACGCTTCTTCGGGGATGGCTCGGGAACCTCCTCCGCCTCCTCGACCGCCGGCTCAGGCGTGACGATGGCTTCGGATGCGGTGGCGGGAGGCGTCACGCTCTTCTCCACCGGCGATTGGGACTTCTGCTCCGCAACGGTCGTGCTGGGAGCATCGTCCTTGTCGACGATGTCATCCTCGTCCCCAGAGTCCAGCTCCGACAGCTCGCCGTCGAAGGCCTCGTGCGTGGGCACCTGTCCCGACGGTCCCGACGCAGCGTTCGTGTTGCCAGTGTCCGCCTTTTCCGGTAGTTGCAGCCTCACGCGTTTACCCTTCGCCGGGCTAGCATCTGCCGCGGGATCTCTCGAGCGTCGCAGATCCTCGTCGTCCGAACCCATGGGTAAGTCGCTCTCCGCCGGAGAAGGAGCGCTTTGTGTGGGGGGGAGGGCGAGCGGCGCGGACGGGGAAGCGTTGGCGGCGGATGGCTGGAGTGGGGTAGGCGCGGGGGAGGTGGATGTCGTCGGGGCCGATCCCGACGTCGTCGGCACGGGAGGCGGAGTCGGGATGCGCGTGGGGACAGGCGGAGGAGGCGGGGCGGGCG